AATGCGGAGCACGATTCAAGCGTTTCCCGAGAAGCAAAAGACGCGCGACTTCATTTTCAACACGCTAATCAACGAGCATCAAACACGCGAGCTTGCCAAGGCAAAAGAGGAGAACAACAAACCCGCATGGTCGGCGGCCGTCTCTACTCAAGGTCACGGCAACAACAACAACAACAACAACAACAACAACAACAACAACAACAACAACAACAACAACAACAACAACAACAACAACAACAACAACAACAACAACAACAACAACAACAACAAAGGCAAGAACCAACGACAAGCAAGTAAGCCCTCCAACCCATCAATCCTTGGTCGCTTCTCTCCATCAAATTCTTCGTCCAATCAACACTTCTCATCTAATCCCTCTCAACCAGCTAAGCCCCAATCGGGGAAGTTCAACTTCACTTGTCATTTTTGTCATCAATGGGGGCATCCATGGTTTAAGTGCCCTCGTAAACCTCCCAATTGGACCCCTCCTCCTCATCTTCTTACCGCCAAGGGCCGAGCCGCCCTAACATATGCAGTAAGCTCACAAAATGAGCCCCAACAATCTCCCTTACCTCAACCTCATTCATCCCAATTCTACCCAAGTCAACCTCATCCCTTTCCCTACTACCCCATGCAACCAATGCCCATGTTTTACCCTTCTCCACCACAAGGCTTTACACCTTCGTTACCACAAGCACCCCATGTCTCTCCCTCCAACTCTACACCCACTTCTTCTTCCTCACACTACCTTGGTATGAACATTGTGAGGGACCGCACCACCAAGTCACTTTTCATCTCACAGCAGAGGTACACTGAGAAGGTCCTTTCAATGTTTGGTCTCCTTGACTGCAACCCAGTTGAGACCCCACTCCCCTCAGACTTCATGCTAAGCTCGCATGAGCAAAGCATTGACCCTTCCACTGTTGAGACAGAGGTCACAGAGCTTGAGGGTGAGATCGAGAGCCTTGAGCCTCCTGAGGACATTGGTCATGACACCTACGCACCACACTCCACATCCCATATCACACCTCTTGAGCTCTCACTCTACCAGAGCCAAGTGGGCAGCCTTATGTACGCCTCCATTTGCGCCCGTCCCGATCTCGCCCATACCGTTGCCATGCTCTCTTAATGCATGACATCACCCACTCGCATGCATCAGCGTGGAGCACTTCGTGCTCTGCGCTATCTCAAATCAACCTCTTCCTTTGGTCTCCTCTTTCAAGGGTTTGAGGGTGCAAGCATGCTGTATGGCTTCACAGATGCAAATTGGGCTGGGGATATCACCACCCGCAGGTCCACTGGAGGATACATCTTCATGCTTGGAGGGGCGGCCATCTCTTGGCAGTCAAAGAAGCAGAGCTGTGTGGCTCTATCATCCACGGAGGCAGAGTACATGGCTGCGACCCAAGGAGCCGGATAAGAGGTCTTTTGAAGGAGCTTGACCTCCCACAAGAGAGCCCTACTCCCATCTTCATTGACAACACGTCGACCAAGAACCCCGTCTTCCATGGAAGGACCAAGCACATCGCGACGCAGTATCACTACGTTCGAGAGCTTGTGGAGCAGAAAATTATTGAGCCCCTGTTTTGCCGCACGAGTGAGCAAGCGGCGGATTTCCTCACCAAGGTTGTTGCACGCGACATCTTCATCAACAACCGAGTTCAAGCCGGGTTAGTCCCAGCAGTCGGATTTGAGGGTACGGGCATGCAGTGAGGGGGAGTGTTGTGAATGGCACGCTCTTCACGTGCCACGCTACTGTGCCACTCCAACCCCTTCCCCTCAAAACACCCTCGACACATTTTCCTAAGAACCCATCCAAACCACTCAACTCCTCCAAAGCCCATTCCAACCACCCAAGTTACAAACTTCCTTTTCCAACTCATCCTCTCCAACTCAAGCCTATCAACCACCTCTTTAATTACTCCCAACCACCATAGCCATTCCTAATCCAACTCAACTAAGACTTCAACAAATTTTTCTATTCACCTCCAAGTCCCACCATAAGGTACATGACTCCTCATGATTTTCCATGTGCTTTCTTTCCTTACTCACCAAATATTATCCAAGTCATCTACCTCCTCCAATATTCCTCCCTCCATGTGCCTTCGAGGCACATGCTTCCAATTCCTAGTCATCAACCTCCACATGCCTCTTATTTATTCCTTCCTTCCTTCCTTCCTTTCCCAAGTCACCAAAGTTGCCAACTCATCCCTCAAGGACTTCATGATTATCCCATCACCTCCTATTCCAAGGCAACAAAGCTCATCATCTCCTCCACTCATCCTTATCCAACTCACTAAGCTCTCTTCCAACTCAACAAGGCTTACATCTCCAACCCACCAAGTGCTCAACCACCACCACATGCTCCAATACTACTCATCTACATCAAGCATCTCTACAACTTCTCAAGAAGGTTCTTCAATGACAACAATGCATTCCAAGCTTCTTCATCAAGCTCCTTTCCAAGCTTCTCCTTCAAGCTCCTCTTCTACTACAAAGGCTCCTCACTAGCAACCAAGTTCTATGTCTCCAAAGTTGATACTCTCATGCTACTCTCTTCCAAGGCTACCATTGATGGTTACTTTCTCTATGCATGCCTATGTATCCCTCGTGGATCTATATGGCTTGTACTATACCTCTTTCAATATAAGTTTATGCTCATAAAGTTCCTTTTCACCTAGACTACAAAGCAGCTATCAAGTGAAGAGTCGCTTACCCCATACTCTACTAGAGTATAAGGAAGCTCCAAGCTACAAGCTAAAGGAAGGACCATCATCCTACCCAAGGCTTGAAGTCACTCCCAAGTAAAACCCTCAAGTTGAAGTTCTTCTCTCAAGTTACTTCTACAACTATCCCTAGTAAGATTCACTCAAGTAAGAGTTTATCACTTTTCTTATTCTCTTAACAATCTCACACTCTTCTTCTCTTTTGAAATCTTATTTCATCAAGCATTCCACCTTACACAAGTTTCTCTTTATAGTCACAAGCTCTAAGCTTCATCTTCTATTCTATCAAGCTCATCCTCACATGCTACAGTTCCACTATTCACTCTTGTCTTATTCTAGTGTGCAATCATACTCTTTTGTCCTTATCTCAATTCTTAACAATAATTAGGGTGGGTCATGCTACATTCATGCTAAGCGGGTCATTTTTGTTTGTTTGCAATTCACTTAGTAGAATTCTGTTTGGTGCACAATGGTCGAAAGCGGTGAAATACATTTGCGGTTTAACACCGTAGTTTAACGTATTGAACCGTGCTGAACGAGCTCCCAACGAATATACGCCCGTGGAGGAGAAACTAGTCACGAGCTGATGTGCAAGGGATACAAGAAACCTGCGCAGCGCAGCTGTAAAATTCATACCTTGTGAACAGATTCGTGCTCAATTTTGACAGGCGGCACTCGCGGCGATTCCACCACATCTCAGGGAGTGCAGTTATGCATGCCTGACGCCACGGCGCGAATGGCGATTTCGGGTAAAGAAATGGCGGGGATGGGTGGATTAAGGTTACGGCAAGTCTACAATACATATTCGTCATATAATGGTACAAACATCCGTAGGAGAAAAAATCATAAAGCCTGCTACCAATAGGACCATACTATATTCCCCTATCCTTCGGACAGCCCTAGCCAAGCTGAGTGCTTTATGAGAAAGGGGAAGTTAAGGGTGAAGGTATGGGTCTCCATTAGGGATGAGATTGAGGCGAATAAGAGATTTCAACAAAACCAAAACAAAGGAATCGTAGGAAGATTTCACTGGCCAACAAAAACTGCTCTAGAATAAGTTGTAGGAGGAGGATTTGCCGAACTTGCGGCAAGAGGAAGGAAGCCTAAAGAACAATAGCAGATGACTGACACAAGGCCTGGGTGCTTCTTGCATGGCAGCCATCCGTTACAACGATGCAGCCAGGTGCGTAGCCAGGTTTGTAGCCTGGTGCATAGCCAGGTGTGTAGCCAGGTGCGTAGCCAGGTGTTGAGCAGCCATCTGAAACAGAAGCTTGCTTAGGCACCTTTAGGTATTGGTTCATCTTCAGCTTGGTGTTTGAAATCTCATGCCTTGGAAGCATGACTCTTGATGAATGTGAAGGGCTCCAGCGGAAAGCCTGGAGTTAACAGAAAATCCAGGAGCTGACTGAAAAGTCAGGCGTTGACTCTGGTGAAGCATGACTGGTAGGGCTCGATCACTGGAGACATGTGCTGCTTCGATGGAGGAACGGGAAGAGAGAAACGAGAGAAGAGAGGCAGGTTTTTAATGTGGCAGCTGATGGTTTGACATCCAGTGAGAGAAAACAGGGGGGAGGGGGGTTGAGAGGGTGGACGAGAGGAGAAAGGAAAGAGCAGGGGCAAAGTGGAGTGTAGCAAAGGTGGAAGGGAGCACAGAGAAGAAGTGGAGTGCAGGCCACGAACAGAGAGTCCTATGAGTTTCTGAGCCGGTGTGGACAATATCCAGTTTGAAAAACGGGAAAAAATATACATCCTACAAGAAGTGGAGCACGGGAAAGAACAGAAGGTCAATTCGTTGTGCTGCTTCTTCTGCTGCTGCCTTTGCTCGTGACTCTTCTTCTGTCTCAGGTTTCGGGTCTTATGCTTGAAATTGCTCTGTTCCCTCTCTACCTCACACACCCCTCGTGCACACATCCATGCCCACGCACACACGCACACACCCACATACGCACACGTGCGCGCGCGCGCACACACACAAACACACACACACACTAGGCTGTGCATTTTCTCTGATTCTCTCTCCATTCTTCTCCCAATGCTCTTTCCCTCACCCACCCACACCCTCTCACCCCCAATACATTCCCTCCCGCACCCAACCATAACCCCTCACCTGGACGTGCATCACCCACCCACCCACCACCCACTCTTGGGACAACACCAACCCAGCCGACATGCTCCCACTGCTTCCACATCAATCGCCCCCAGTCGTTTTCACCGACTCGTTCCCTGAGCGCGCTATACGCTGTTCAGCCAATGTACCCAGTCACCTTTTTCTCTCACCTGGCTGTGCAATTTCTCGTCTCCTTCCACCCTTCAGGCACGGAGTACCCAAGTGTCTTCACCCCACCACAGAACATCAATGTCCCCGAAAATTCCGAGTCGCGCGAAGGCACCTCTAGGGCCAGGTCGGCTACTTTATGAATGCAGCCTATGTTGCGCAGAAAGAAAGCCTTGCAGAAGCGGAGAGACACCTGGCTGCGGCGCCCAGGGATGGTGAACACAGCGCCGCCGAGGCCGCAGCGGGCACCGAAAGGGCTGACGGCCTGGTTTCGCTTGAAGGTGGGTTGGGAGAGCGTGAGCGAGACGCCGTCCGAGTAGATGCCTCCCCCATGAAAGCCTGGAGGGTGGACGGGTGGGATGGGGACAAAGGATGTGGTAAAGCAGCAAGGTTTAGCCTGGAAAAGATGGTCGGAGGGTTTGAGGGTCTGAGAGGGAGTAAGCAACAACAGTAGGGAGAGCTAAGGATCCGGCAATGGAAGTAGCATGGATGGGGATTCTTGAAAGGGCAGGTGATTTTGGAGACAGGAGTGCTGTTTGAGAAGAGGCCTTCCCCGGAAGAGGCCTCTCTTTGATGCGTCTGGGATAATGGAAGGGAGAGATGCGGATGTTACTGTACCAGATCTTTAGCCATGCTAGAAAGGTCTGTGGCACTGACAGGACCGCCCACCGAATACACAAAACTCCGGGTTGGCTTTGGATGGGTCTGACTCTCTCCGGGTTGGCTTCGGAGAAGACTCAAAGGGTAACAGACACACACGCACATACACGTGCGCACTCACGCACGCATGCACGCACGCAGTCACTCGTGTGCACACACACAAACACACATACGCATGCACCACGCACGCAAGTACACACGCACGCATGCACGCAAGTACACACGCACATACGCACGCACGCACGCGCGCGCGCGCACGCACACACACACACACACACACACACACTCACTCACTCACCAGCGAAATTCCCTTCAAACGAACACTTCATGCACCGAATGTCGCCATTTCCTGCCACTGTCATTGCTCCTCCACTGGCTTGGTATGCGATGTTGTTTCGGAAGCGGCAGTGCACAAACGTCACATTAGCCGCACTGCCTTAGGGATCCCCCAAGTTAATGCTAATGGCACCACCCTTCCCAACAGTTGCCGTGTTGTTTTGAAAGACACAGTACACGAACGTCACATTAGGCCCGCTGCCCTCGGGGTTCCCCTCGTTGATGTTGATTGCACCTCCCTCCCCAGTGGGTGCTGTGTTGTTGTAGAAGGTGCAGTACGAGAAGAAGCGGTTGGGAGGGGTTGCTGCTTCAGGGAAGGAGTCACTGGTGGGTTGGGGTGGGTGGGGGATAGAGGAGAGTGTGTTAAGGGAGTGAGGTTTGCTTCTGTGGAAGGTGCAACGAGGGAAGAGGTGGTGGGGGAGTGATGGCTGTTGGTGAGGAGGAGTTGCTGGTGGGTTGGGGAGATGTTGAAAGGGGGGGAGGAGGGGAGGGAAGCGTTGATAGGAGGCAATGGGGAATGAGTTAGGAGCCCATCAGTCACAAAATCCCATTAGGTTAGACAGACAATTTTGAGTCGCGTCAAACAACACTTGAGCAGGCCTCCCGTTGATGTAGCATGATTCCATGCACACCATACGCACTCTCACGTGCACCATACGCACTCTCACATGCAACATACGCACTCTCACATGCACCATACACACTCTCACGCGCACCACACAAACACTCTCACGTGCAGCACGCACTCACGTGGGCAACTCACACACTCTCAGCCGCACCGCACACACTCTCAGCCGCACAACACACACTCTTTGCCGCACCACTCACTCTCTCACATGCCCCACACACACTCACCTAAGCACTCCTCTCGCTCCCTCATCTTCCTTCTATCACTCACACCCAAATTTCCTTCTCTCTCCCTCATCATACCCCCAACAGTCCACCCCCTTCACCTGAAAACCCCTCCGCCAATGCTAGGACCCCTGTTGTGAACCAAGCCCGCATACAGTGGCGTGGACCCTCACCTGCGCACCCCTCCTCCTCTTCCCATCACCCTCACCTGACCACCCCTCCTCTTCTCCCCATCACTCTCACGTGCACACCCCTCCTCTTCTCCCCATCACTCTCATCTGAGCACCCCTCCGCCAACGCTTGAAGTCGTGTTGCTGATGAAGCTGCTTAGCACTGCTTTGACCCTCACCTGAGCACCCATCTCACCCTCTCATCTGCCCCGCAAACACTCCATTCCCCTCACCTGAGCACCCCTCCGCCAACGCTAGGAGCCGTGCTTCCGACGAATCCGCATTGACTCGCGTTGATCGCCGCCCGCACGTTGAAAAAGACGCCTCCTGCCGCCCGCTGGAAGTTGAGGTTGACCAGAGTCAACTCTCCCCCTGTGGGGCCGGACGAGGGGGAGGTGAATATGGGGAAGGCGCCACCCCCGCTGATGATGCACCTGGTGTTGGGGTTGGGGGTGTGGGTGGGGGGTGAGGGGGGGGACGGAGGAAGGGGAGGGTGGGGGGAAAGGTGCAAGAGGATGGTTTATAATGTCGCTGCATCCTATAGCTGGTAACCCTGTAACCCGCCGGGGAACCCTGACAATGATTGTGAGAGTCAAGTAAATGCGCCTTCTTGTGACAGTATGAGCCAGAGCGGGGTCCAGATCACCAACCTGACCCGTTGAACTGGCCGTTCCTAACAGTAACCCTAGCCAACAACGGGTAACTTTGTTACAAACTTGGCGGCGGTACAATTGCCAATGATGGTCAGCTTGGCCGCGCCGGAGAGTGCGGGGAGGGCGCTGGGGGAGGAGAGGAGGGGGAAGGTGTAATGGGGGAAAGAAGGGGGTCGGGCGGAGAGGGGGGAGCGAGGGGGAGGAGGAGGGTGGAGGGGCGAGTGAATAGAGAGGGGGAAGGGCTCATGGAAAGGGGAGTAGGAAGAGAGTGCAGTCGACTCAAGCAAGGCGAGACGAGAGGGAGTGGGCTCAAAATGAGGAAATAATACACGTTGATGGGAGGCCAGGTGTATGCGGTCGGTACCAAAGTAACCGGCGTTTTTAGGCACGAGGGGGCAAGCGCACACGTGGCGAGAAGCGACATGTGGCAGACGTGGATTCATGGGGAACTCACGCTTTGAGATGCACGTTGGATTTAAGAACGAGCTCTATGGGCGACGCGCTTGCTTCTCTCTAAATTCACGCCATGTGGACACACACCCACGCCACGTGGATACACACAAACACACACACGCAAGGGTGGACGTGCTTGAATTTATGTAACTCCCTCATTCATTTGAATTAGGTTGAGAGGCTATCACACCATACTATTAGCGGTGTTTCTATCTATTCTACGTCGTCGCTAGAATTTTGAAACACCTGAAATAACTATCGCATACAGGAGGATAAGAACCTTGTCCCGCGACACATCTGTCGTCAGCAATTTGTGTTGCGCCCCACTTCGTCGCGATGTGAGTCGTTTCGATTGGACTAGCTTTTCGTAATAGCTCGTGACAAGGAGATCCCTCTCATGGCTGCGCGTAAGCTCCCTACTCTTAATGTACTACGGAACATGCTGAGCTTGTACTATCCGGGTGAAACTACTATCGTATCGCGTTCGCCCGGTTGATGGCATCGTCCAGTTTCGACGCCGCGACAGTCGCGAGACCGCAGATCATCCCAAGGAGCGATGCGACGAGGAGGGAAGTGATGAGCTGGGGTGCTGTGATTGTCTTCCTAGCACGAACCATCCTGAGCCTGACGACTGTAGGAACCGAATTGGATTTTTTTTTTTAGGTATATCAGTAGCAGAGAAGCAACTGCGGCAAGACTTAGCACTTCGATCGCGTGCTATCTTTGTTAAAAAAAACCATGTGAGTGAAAACTAAGGAGCAGATGTGCAAGATCTTCTTTACCCGAGAGCCTAGACTGCAAGATACTCACCGCCGCAAGCTACAACCACACGCTAAGTATAAACGTTCCGCGAACTGACCACAACATCGCCAGGGCGCGAGCCTCTGTCATTTCACCGCATCGCAGGGTATGCCTGCCAGGCGCCACGCCACGAATGGCGGCCAAGGGAGTGGGAGGATGCATCCTACATGCGCCCCGTTTTCTGTTGATACGCCACAAGCTACATCACAAAAAACCTGGTTCGGTGTTGGAGGTTCCGAAAGGTTGCACGCGACAAAAATGGGCCACTGGTTTTCCAGTGGTTTTCCAACCGTGAATTCACCGACTTTCGGATGGAAACCCGTCAGCCAGGCTGAGTCTCGCCAAGATTTGAAAAAGGCTTCCGAGTCGCGTCAGAGATGAACCAAGTGTCAAACGGAATCACCTGATTTCCGTCGGATTTCAGGTGGGAATTCCAAGCCAGGAATAGTGGTGTAATGCTGATGCATAATTGAAATAATAGAGATGCGTACACTATACGCAATACCCCTGTTGCTCCGTATATGTTTCTAATTGTTAATAAGGAACATTCAAATAATTTTAATTGCCAATTGGTTGGATGCCAAGGGTTTACATCTCCTTTTAAGGTTCCTGGTTATGTCTAAGTATGAGCTAATTGGTAAAATAACCAGATGTTGAATCTGATAAAATAATTATCGGTGACGACTCATAAATGTCAGATGCTTAAAGAATTGGATACTTCACTAAATTATGTATTTATTCATGAAGTATACATCAACATTAAGACGCGTCACCTGCCTCGATTGATCCTGCGCAGGATCGATTTTTGATTCGGTTCATAAAGTTTTCAAACAAATTAAAACGCAATACGCGGGATTTTAGTGCGGTGGACGATCGATCTTCCTCGATTTTGCACGATCGATCGAGGGAGGTGACGCGTCCTTAGTAGGATCAAAAGACTTCACAACGTGGACATGACCCAGAATAGAATCAATGGGGATGACGGTGAACGCGCGGGGATTGTACGAACTCAACCGCACACATCCAATCTTTGCGTCCATGTCCGCTGTTCTATAGAAATTTACGTATGCAAGATCATGGCGTTGTCCTTCAATGAAACAATGGAATAGCAACAACAGCTTTGTGTAGGCCACTCTCTCGCCATCACACCAAACAGCAATGTGTGAATACCAAGGTCTCTTATGGCACTCGGGGGTTGCTCTCACGAAATGAGCTACCCTTGAGGCGTTCTTGTCAGTTGACACTGGCACTGCCATTGTTGTGTGGGTCTGCCACAAGTCCACGCAAGACGCATTAGTATGTGTACGTCTGAGGATTATGTTGCTTAACAAATGCGGAACAGAAATACAACATAATAAACAAAAAAAAACAATGAAAACCATGAAACATACTTGAATGGATTGCGCGGTACAGC